CCCGGCTCAAGCAATTCTCCTGCCTCAGCCTCCCAAGTAGCTGGGATTATAGGTACCTGCCACCATGCCTGGCTAATTTTTTTTGCATTTTTAGTAGAGATGGGGTTTCACCATGTTGACCAGGCTGGTCTCGAACTCTTGGCCTCAGGTGATCCACGTGCCTCGGCCTCCCAAAATGCTGGGATGACAGGCATGAGCCACATCACCCAGCCTGTATTTCTTTTTCTTTCTTTTTTTTTTTTTCTTTTTTTTTGAGACAGAGTTTTGCTCTTGTCCACAGGCTAGAGTGCAGTGGCACAATCTCGGCTCACTGCAGCCTCTTCGAGTTTCAGATGATTCTGCTACCTCAGCCTGACGAGTAGCTGGGATTACAGGCATGCACCACCATGCCTGGCTCATTTTTGTATTTTTAGTAGAGACAGGGTTTTAACCATGTTGGCCAGATGGTCTCTAACTCCTGACTTCAGGTCATCCACTCACCTCGGCCTCCCAAAAGGCTGGGATTACAGGCGTGAGCCACTGTGCCCGGCCTTTGGGTAAACTCCATCTTAATGCAACATTTCAAGAAGGCAAAATGGATGCAAAAAAGTGCATGATGAACTAAATATGGAAATGTTAAAGTCAGGATTGGCTGGATATGGTGGCTCACCCCTGTAACTCCAACATTTTGGGAGGCCAAGGTGGGAGGATCGCTTGAGCCCAAGAGTTGAAGACCAGCCTGGGCAACATGGAGAAACCCCATCTCTACCAAAAATACAGAAATTAGCTGGGCATGATGGCACGCACCTGTGGTCCCAGCTACTTAGGAGGATGAGGAGGGAGGATCACTTGAGCCCAGCGGTTAGAGGCTGCAGTAAGCCATGATCGAACCACTGCACTCCAGCCTGGGCAACAGGGCACAAGACCCTGCCTCTAAAAAAGGCAAAAAAAAGAAAGACACTCTCCTAAATCCTAAGCCTGGCCATGGTGGGAGGCCCCTGCCTCTAGCCTCTCCCTGCCCCTTGGCAAATCCCCCAAAATCCCCATGGGTTTCTCGGCATTTCTCAGCAAATGAAGGGGAGGTGGGAGTGGGAGCGGGGATCCCCGAGCTTGTCCAGCCTGCCTCTGGGGGTTTCCTTGCTCCCAGGCATCCCGATGGCTGGGACATGTGCGGTGGCAGCTGCCTCCCCAGGCCTGCGTGCCTGTGTCTGTCTGTCTCTTTCCATGTCTCTGTCTCTTTTCCTTCTCTCTCTCTGTCTCTATCTCCTGGTCTCCATCTCTGTCTCCCTTGCTGTTTTTGTCTCTCTGTGTCCCTGTATCTCTGTTTGTGCCTTCCTCCTCTCTCACCTCTGTCTCTCTCTGTCTCTTTTTTACTCCGTCTCTATCTTATCTATCTCTGTCTCTATCTCTGTCTTATCTCTGTTTCTCTGTGTCTCTGATCTCCCTGTATCTCTCTGTCTTCCTCTCTTGTTTTTGTCTCTCTGTGTGTCTCTCTTTCTCTGTCTCTGTCATCTCCCCATCTGTCCCCATCTATCTTTTTTTTTTTTTTTTTTTGAAACAGAGTCTTACCCTATCACCCAGGCGGGAGCGCAATGGCATGATCTTAGCTGACTGCAACCTTTGCCTCCCCGGCTCAAGCAATTCCCCTGCCTCAGCCTCCCAAGTAGCTGGGATTATAGGTACCTGCCACCATGCCTGGCTAATTTTTTTTGCATTTTTAGTAGAGATGGGGTTTCACCATGTTGGCCAGGCGGGTCTCGAACTCCTGACCTCAGGTGATCCGCCTCGGCCTCCCAAAGTGCTGGGATTATAGGCATGAGCCCCCGCACCCTGCTGTCTCTCTATCTCTCTCTATCCTCCTCTCTCATCCCTGTCTCTCTCGTCCTCCCATCTCTGTCTTGCTTTCTCTGTCTTCCTCTCTTATCTCTCTTCCTCTGTCTCTGTTCCTCTGTCCCTCTCTCTCTGTGTCTCTCTCTCTGTTTCCATCATCTCCCTGTCTCTCTCTCTCTGTGTCCTCCTCCTCTCATTTCTGTCTCTGCCTCTCTCATCTCTGTGTCCCTCTATGCGTCTCTGTCTGTTATCTCCCTGTCTCTGTCTCTGTCTCTGTCATCTCCCTGTCTCTCTGTGTCCTCCTCCTGTCATCTGTGTCTCTGCCTCCCTCATCTGTATCTCTCTCTGTCTCGCTGTGTCTGTCTCTGTCATCTCCCTGTCTCTCTCTCTGTATTCTCTCCTCTCTGCCTCCCTCCTCTCTCTCTGTCTCTCTGCCTGTCTCCTGTCTTTGCCTCTGTCTCCCTCCACGCCGGCGAGCCCCTGCCTGCCTGCCTGGGGTTTCCCCTTTCCTGCCAGTCAGGGCAGCGGAAGGAAGGCAGGCAGGACTTGCTGTGCTGGGAAAAGCCAGCAGGTCTCCACTTCTCCCTTTCGCAGCCTCCTCCCCTGCCCCCACCCTTGGGGCCTTCCGCGCAAGGGTGGCCTGCATTCCCCAGGGGGCTGGGGCTGGGGCTCCCCGGCATCCTAACTCATCCGCACCAGCCCTGCCAGTGAGTCAGATGGAAGGAAGGCGAAGGGGGGCCTTGACCCTGGGCTGGGCTTCCCCGGGGCACGTCCCAAGTCCTCGCCTCCCCTCAAGTCTCCCAGGACGTCGCCACCCCAGCTGCTGAGAGCAGAGCTGGCTGTAGTCATGACCCCGCCGCTTCTCCTGGCCCTTGTGCTCTGGGCCAGCTGCCCACCCTGCAGTGGAAGGGAAGGTATGTCATCCCTGGAGGGCTGGCGGGGGGGGCCCCCACAGAGGGACATGATTTTGGATCGTGTCTGCAGTGGGAACTCACATACCTCCTGTGTGCCCACGGGTGGGATGGGGTTACCCTCCCATTGTACAGATGGGGAAACTGAGGCACAGAGGAAGAGGGCCACATTGGGGGTAGAAGAATGTAACCTTGTGGGTGACAGGGAGTGGCAGTCACAGCTTAGAGATATCTTTTTTTTTTTTTTTTCTTTAAAGATGGGGTTTCTCCATGATGGCCAGGCTGGTCTTGAACTCCTGACCTCAGGTGATCCACCCACCTCGGCCTCCCAAAGTGCTAGGATTACAGGCGTGAGCCACCACACCCGGCCAGCTTAGAGATATCTATACACCTATACAGACATAGATGGGAATTTGGGTCACACTCATTCATTTTGCTTCTTTTTGTTTTTATTTTTGTATTTTGAGACAGTCTCGCTCTTTGGCCCAGGCTGGAGTGGAGTGCAAGTGGCCTGATCTCGGCTCACTGCAACCTCTGCTTCCTGGGTTCAAGCAAGATTCTCCTGCCTCAGCCTCCCAAGTATCTGGGATTACAGGCACCCACCACCACGCCTGGCTAATTTTTGTATTTTTAGTAGAGATGGGAGTTTCACCATGTTGGCCAGGCTGGTCTTGAACTCCTGACCACAGGTGATCCACCCGCCTCAGCTTTCCAAAGTGCTGGAATTATAGGCATGAGCCACTGAGCCCGGCTGACACCCATTCATTTTGGACTAGAGAACATTTCCACGTCCTTGAAGACAAAATGATTACAGCAGGGCATGGTGGCTCACGCCTGTAATTCCAGCACTTTGGGATGCCAAGGCATGAGGATTGCTTGAGGCCTGGAATTTGAGACCAGCCTGGGCAATACAGTGAGACCTGCTCCCCCAATCTGTATAAAATATTTAAAAATTGGGCCTGGCATGGTGGCTCACACCTGTAATCCCTGCACTTCAGGAGGCCGAGGCAGGTGGATCACCTGAGGTCAGGAGTTCGAGACCAGCCTAGCCAATATGGTGAAACCCATCTCTACTAAAAATACAAAAAATTAGCTGGGTGTGGTGGCAGGCACCTGTAATCCCAGCTACTTGGGAGGCTGAGGCAGGAGAATCTCTTGAACCCAGGAGTCAGAGGTTGCAGTGAGCTGAAACCGCACCATTGCACTCCAGCCTGGGCAACAAGAGCAAAACTCTGTCTCGCCAAAAAAAAAAAAAAAAAAAAAAAAATTAGAGCTGGGTGTGGTCTGTAATCAGCACTCTGGGAGGCTGAGGCAGGCGGATCACCTGAGGTCAGGAGTTCCAGACCATCATGACCAACATGGAGAAACCCTGTCTCTACTAAAAATACAAAATTAGCTGGGCGTGGTGGCTCATACCTTGTAATCCCAGCTACTTGGGAGGCTGAGGCAGGAGAATCACTTGCACCCAGGAGGCAGAGGTTTCGGTGAGCCGAGATCACACCATTATACTCCAGCGCAAGAAACAGGAGTGAAGCTTCGGCTCAAAAAAACAAAAAATTAGCCGGGCGCGGTGGCTCAAGCCTGTAATCCCAGCACTTTGGGAGGCCAAGGCGGGTGGATCACGAGGTCAAGAGATCGAGACCATCCTGGTCAACATGGTGAAACCCCGTCTCTACTAAAAATACAAAAAACATTAGCTGGGCATGGTGGCGCGTGCCTGTAATCGCAGCTACTCAGGAGGTTGAGGCAGGAGAATTGCCTGAACCCGGGAGGCGGAGGTTGCAGTGAGCCAAGATCGCGCCATTGCACTCCAGCCTGGGTAACAAGAGTGAAACTCCGTCTCAAAGAAAAAAAAATTAAAAAATTTAAAAATGAGCTAACTGGGAGGCTAAGGTGGGAGGATTACTTGAGCCCAGGAATTGGAGGCTGCAGTGAGCTATGACTGTGCCACTGCACTCTAGCCTGGGTGACAGAGTGGGATACCTTGTCTCCAAAAACAAAAAACAAAAACAAAAAACACCAGGTTTGGTGGCTCACACCTGTAATCCTGGCACTTTGGGAGGCCAAGGGAGGCAGATCACCTGAGGTCAGGACTTTGGGGCCAGCCTGGCCAACACGGCGAAACCCCATCTCTACTAAAAATACAAAAATCAGCGGGGCATGGCGGTGCACACCTGTAATCCCAAAAACTTGGGAGAGTAAGAATCGTTTGAATACTGGAGGCGGAGGTTGCGGTGAGCTCAGATCATGCCAATGCACTCCAGCCTAGGCGAGTGGGCAAGACTCCCTCCAAAAAAAAAAAATTACAAAAAAGAGAACCACAGTGAAACCTCTCCCTCTTACCCAAGTTCCTCTCTGTAGATTCAGCTTCCGTATCTGGAAAATAGGCTAATAGTTCTCACCTTGATGCATTGTAGTGGGGATAAAAGATGACATCGATGCGTTTTGTCCATGTACCTATTTATTTATTTATTCCACAAGCCTTTATTAGGCACCTACCATGTGCCTGGTGCTGGCTGGCAGCACGTCAGGAGCCCAGCGCACAGGAAGGCTGTGACAGTCTGGGGTAAACCACAAGCTCACTCTTTCTGTCCTTCTCCAGGGCCCCCAGCAGCTCCGACCTTACCCCAGGTGCAATGCCGAGCCCCTCGGTACCCGATTGCTGTGGATTGCTCCTGGACCCTGCCACCTGCTCCAAACTCCACCAGGCCCGTGTCATTCATTGCCACATACAGGTCAGAGAGCCTGGAAGGGGACCTTGGGGACACTGGACTTCCTGAAGAGCCCAGAACTCTGGCCCCGAGAGCCCTGGATCAGGAAAATTGGAAACCCAGATATTCTGAAACCCAGGCCTATGGAATTCTAGGGCAGCCCTGTCCAACAGAAATACACTTCCTGGGCTGGGCACAGGGGCGCATGCCTGTAATCCCAGTGCTTTGGGAGGCTCAGGAGGGTAGATTGCTTGAGGTCAGGAATTTGAGATCAGCTTGGGCAACATAATGAGACCCTGTCTCTACAAACAATTTTAAAAATTGGCTGGGTGTAGTGGCTCACGTCTATAATCCCTGCTAGATTGGGGGGTGGGGTAGATTATAGGCCTAGGTGGGTGGATCACTTGAGGTCGGGAGTTCGAAACCAGCCTGGCCAACATGGTGAAAACCCTGTCTCTACTAAAAATACAAAAAAATTAGTGGGGCATGGTGGCATGCACCTGTAATCCCAGCTACTCAGGTAGCTGAGGCAGGAGAATTGCTTGAAACCAGGAGGCAGAGGTTTCGGTGAGCCGAGATGGCACCACCGCACTCCAGCTTGGGAAAAAGAGTGAGATTCCATCTCAAAAAAAAAAACAAAAAAACCTTCCTGGGCTGGGCACAGTGGCGCATGCCTATAATCACACCGCTTTGGGAGACTGAACGGGGAGGATCGCTTGACGTCAGGAGTTTGAGGCCCAGTTGGGCAACATAGTGAGACCCCCGTCTCTACAAAAAATTTTTAAAATTAGCTGGGCATGTTGGTACTTGCCTGTAGTTCCAGCTACTCTGGAGGCTGAGGTAGGAGGATCACTTGGGCCCAGGAGTTTTAGACCAGGCTGGGCAGCATAGCAATATCCTGTCTCTACTAAAAATCAAAAAAAATTATCCAGATGTGGTGGCACACATCCGTATAGTCCCAGCTACTTGGGGGACCAAGGTGAGAGGATCACTTGAGCCCAGAAGTTTGAGACCAGCCTGGGCCAACATTCTGGGACCCTGTCTCTAGAAAAAAAAAATTTACAAATTAGCCAGGAGTGGGGAGGCACCCCTGTAGTCCCACCTGCTGTGGAGGCTGAGACGCAAAGATCCCTGGAGCCAGGAGTTCAAGGCTATGATAAGCTAGGATGGTGCCACTGCACTCCAGCCTGGGTGCCAGAGGAAGACCCTTTCATTCATTCATGAATGAATGAATGTTGGAATGCTGACATCCCATTTAGAATCCAGGACGCTAGCATCTAGCTGGGGTTGTAATCCCCGATCTGAGCCATCAGGCACTCTGTGATGTTGGGGTCCATATCCCGCCCCCGGGTAAGGGGTGACGTGGCCACCACCAGGACCACACCCCGGGATCCCCACCTGCTGCCCTATCTGTTCCTGCCTCTCCTTGGGGTCTTGGGTCAGGCCGGCAGCAGGAGATGCTGAGGCCACAGGTGCTCCCGGAGGCGCTCAGCCTGCCCTACCCTGTACAGGCTTGGCATGGCTGCCCGGGGCCACAGCCGGCCCTGCCTGCAGCGGACGCCAGAGGCCACCAGCTGCACCATTGCAGATGTCCAGCTGTTCTCCACAGCGCCCTACGTGCTGAATGTCACTGCTGTCCACCCCTGGGGCTCCTGCAGCAGCTTCGTGCCTTTCATAGCAGAGCACATCAGTGAGTGGAGGGGGGGCGGGGGCGGGGTGGGGGGACAACTGCCAGCTCCTTCCTGCTCCACCCCCCCGTCCCATCTCCCACCTGTCCTGTAGTCCTGTGGCTGCACCTTCACACTTCGGCAAAAATCTGACCCCTCCTTCCCCCTTCTCTGCCAATACATGGATCACCCCCATTGTTGCCAGCTGGGTCCCCCCCATCCTGAACCCTGGCTCCATCCCTGGCCCACACAATCTGTCCTTCCCACAGCAGCCACCAGAGGGCGCCTGTGAGCACCTCAATCAGGGCCCATCCCTCTGCCTGCAGCCCGCCATGGCTCCCATCTGCCTTGGGGTCAAAGCCCTAGTCCTTCCTACTGCCCAACAGGCCCTGCACAACCTGCCCTGTCTCCTCCACACCCTCCCCTCCCTTTCTCCCCATCACTCTCTGCTCTAGCCACATGGGCCTCCTTGATGTTCCTCCATGCCAGGCACAGTCCTGTCCCAGGGCCTTTGCACAGGTGGTGGCCTCTGCCTGGAACACACTCCCCAAAATGTCCCAATGACTCATTCCCTCACCTCCTTCAGGTCTCTGTGCATACATCACCTCCTCAGTGAGGCCTCTCCTGAGTAGATTATTACAAACTGCACGCCCTGGCTAGGCTCAGTGGCTCACGCTTGTAATCCCAGCACTTTGGGAGGCTGAGGAATGGGATAGATTGCTTGAGCCCAGGAGCTTGAGACCAGCATGGGGAACATAGTTAGACCCCGCCCCCATCTCTACAAAAATAGGAAAAAAAGTACAAAAACTGGCCAGGTGTGGTGGCACATGCCTGTAGTCCCAGCTACTTGGGAGGCTGAGGAGGCAGGAGGATCACTGGAGCCCAGGAAATTGAGGCTGCACTGAATTTCAGTCTGGGGGACAGAGCGAGACCCTGTCTTTTTTTTTTTTTTTTGTTTGTTTGTTTGTTTGTTTGTTTTTGAGACAGAGTTTCACTCATGTTACCCAGGCTGGAGTGCAATGGCGCGATCTCGGCTCACCACAACCTCCGCCTCCTGGGTTCAGGCAATTCTCCTGCCTCAGCCTCCTGAGTAGCTGGGATTACAGGCACGCACCACCATGCCCAGCTAATTTTTTGTAGTTTTAGTAGAGACGGGGTTTCACCATGTTGACCAGGATGGTCTCGATCTCTTGACCTCATGATCCACCCGCCTCGGCCTCCCAAAGTGCTGGGATTACAGGCTTGAGCCACCGCGCCCGGCTTTTTTGTTTGTTTTTTTCTTTGTCTACCTGCAACTGTCTTGATCAAGTTATAAAGACCTTATCTTTAAAGAAAAAAAAAAAGAAAAAAAATTGCGAGTCTTCATGCACTGCTGCTGGTTAGTAAAAGCAGCTTGTCTGGCAAACCCTCAAAGTGTTAAACATGGAGTTGCCACATAACCTGGCAATTCCACTGCTAGGTGTCTACTCAAGAGACATGAGGCCGGGTGAGGTGCCTCACACCTGTAATTCCAGCATGTCGGGAGGCTGAGGCAGGCAGATCACCTGAGGTCAGGAGCTTGAGACCACCCTGGCCAACATGGTGAAACCCTGTCTCTACTAAAAATACAAGAATTAGTTGGGCATGGTGGCAGGTGCCTGTAATCCCAGCTACTCGGGAGGCTGAGGCACGAGAATTGCTTGAACCTGGGAGGCGGAGGTTGCAGTGAGCCGAGATCATGCCACTGAACTCCAGCCTGGGTGAGAGAGTGAGACACCATCTTAGAAAACAAAATAAACAAAACATGGCGGCCACTGCCATTCTTGCACTCCCCAGCTTCCTTCCCTATTCTCTGTGACCTATGGATTTGTTTCTTATTTCCTGCCTTCTCCCTGATAGATTGTGAGTTCCATGAGGACAGGAGTAGGTCAGTTAAGACCACCACTGTGTCCCTGCTCTGTGGCAGTGCCAGGCACGCAGACGCTCAATCAATATTTGTTGGTTGAGCTGGGCATGGTGGCTCCAGCACTTCGGCAGGCCAAGGCAGGAGGATCACTTGAGGCCAGGAGTTTGAAACCAGACTGGCCAACATGGTGAAATCCTGTCTCTACTAAAAATAGAGAAATTAAGGCTGGTCAAGGTGGTTCACACCTGTAATCCTGGCACTTTGGGAGGCCGAGGTGGGCGGATCATTAGGTCAGGAGATCGAGACCACCCTAGCCAAAATGGTGAAACCCCGTCTCCACTAAAATACAAAAAAAATAAATAGCTAGGGGTGGTTGCAGTGCATGCCTGTCGTCCCAGCTACTCGGGAGCCTGAGGCAGGGGAATTACTTGAACCTGGGAGATGGAGGTTGCAGTGAGCCGAGATTGCGTCCCCTGCATTCCAGCCTGGTGATACAGCAAGACTCCATCTTAAAAAAAAATACAGAAATTAGCCAGGCATGGTGGTGGATGCCTGTAGTCCCAGCTACTTGGGAGGCTGAGGCAGGAGAATCGTTTCAACCCAGGAGGCAGAGGTTGCAGTGAGCCAAGATCACACTACTGCACTCCAGCCTGGGCAATAAGAGCAAAACTCTGTCTCAAAAATACATATAGACACATATATAAATATATTTATATATTATATGTTACATAATTTATATAATTATTGATTCTATGTAATTATATAATATATAATATGATTATATGTAATTATATAATTATATATAATATGTGTATTATGTATTATATATAATAAATATATACTATATAATATAATTATATAATTATATTATGTATAGTACTATATTATGTATAGTATTATATATAATTATACTATTGTATTAATATAGTATATATTTATTATATATAATATATAATACATATTTGTTGGTTGAATGAATGAGTGAATGAATGAATGGATGAATGGACTTGCTGTCCCCTGACCCGGCTTCCTGCTTGTCCATCAGTCAAGCCTGACCCTCCAGAAGGCGTGCACCTGAGTCCCCTGGCTGGGCGCCGGCTACAGGTGCAGTGGGAGCCGCCCCCGTCCTGGCCCTTCCCAGAGATCTTCTCACTCAAGTACTGGATCCGTTACAAGCGTCAGGGAGCTGCCCGCTTCCACCAGGTGAGGAGGATGAGGGGAGGCCAGGGAGGGTGGTGTCTGGCAGAGGAAATGGCTCCCACCAGGAGCAGCGGGTGTGCTTGGGATTCTGGGTGCATTAAATAATAGCAGCCCAGCAATCTGATTCCTGGGCCTCTACCTAGACGGATGGAAAGCAAGGACTCACACAAGCACTTGCACACCTGTTTTGTTGTTGTTGTTGTTTTAAGACAGTCTCACTCTGTTGCCCAGGCTGGAGTGCAGCAGCACAACCTCGACTGCAACCTCCGCCTCCCAGGTTCAAGCGATTCTCCTGCCTCAGCCTCCGGAGTAGCTGGGACTACAGGCATGTGCCACTGCCATGCCCAGCTAATTTTTGTATTTTTTAGCAAGACAGGGTTTCACTATGTTGCCCAGGCTGGTCTCAAACTCGTGGCCTCATGATCCACCCGTCTCAGCCTCCCATAGTGCTGAGATTACCGGCATGAATCACTGTGCCCAGCTTTATTTATTTATATATATTTTTTGAGACAGAGTCTCACTCTGTCACTCAAGCTGGAGTGCAGTGGGGCAGTCTTGACTCACTGCAGCCTCTGCCTCCCAAGCTCAAGCAATCCTCCCACCTCAGCCTCCCAAGTAGCTGGGATTACAGACACCTGCAGCCATACCTGGCTAATTTTTTTTTCTTTTTTGGAGACGGAGTCTTGCTCTGTCTCCCAGGCTGGAGTGCAGCGGTGTGATCTTGACTCACTGCAATCTCTGCCTTCCAGATTCTAAGCGATTCTGCTGCCTCAGCCTCCTGAGTTGCTGGGATTACAGCCGTGCGTCACCACGTCCGGATAATTTTTTATTTTTAGTAGAGACGGGGTTTCACCATGTTGGTCAGGCTGGTCTAGAATTCCTGACCTCATGATCCACCTGCCTCGGCCTCTCAGAGTGTTGGGATTACAGGCATGAGCCACCATGCTGAGTCCATTTTTGTTTATTTGTTTGTTTGTTTTTTGAGATGGAGCTAGCTCTGTCACCAGGCTGGAGTGCAGTGGCACAACCTCAGCTCACTGCAACCTCCGCCTCCCAGGCTCAACCGATTCTCCTGCTTTAGTCTCCCCAGTGGCTGAGACTACAGGCCTGCACCATTACGCCCAGCTAATTCTTGTGTTTTTAGTAGAGACTAAGCATAGGGTTTCACCATGTTGGCCAGGATGGTCTTGATCTCTTGACTTTATGATCTGCCCATCTCAGCCTCCCAAAGTGCTGAATTACAGGCTCAGGCCAGTAACCCAGCCCAAATTTTCAAATTTTTTTTTTTTTTTTTTTTTGAGATGGAGTTTCGCTCTTGTTACCCAGGCTGGAGTGCAATGGCGCGATCTCGGCTCACCGCAACCTCCATCTCCTGGGTTCAGGCAATTCTCCTGCCTCAGCCTCCTGAGTAGCTGGGATTACAGGCATGCGCCACCATGCCCAGCTAATTTTTTGTATTTTTAGTAGAGACGGGGTTTCACCTTGTTGACCAGGATGGTCTCGATCTCTTGACCTTGTGATCCACCCGCCTCGGCCTCCCAAAGTGCTGGGATTACAGGCTTGAGCCACCGCGCCCGGCCAATTTTCAAATTTTTAATAGAGACAGCATTTCACCGTGTTGGACAGGCTGGTCTCGAACTCCTGACCTCACATGATCTGCCTGCCTCAGTCTCCCAAAGTGTTGGAATTACAGGCATGAGCCACCGCACCCAGCCAAACCATGCTGTTTATTTTGTTTATTTCAGTCAGGAGACAGAGTCTCTCTCTGTCACCCAGGCTGGAAGGCAGTGGTGCCACCACAGCTCAGCGCAGCCTCAATCTTCCAGGCCCAAGCGATCCTCCCACCTTAGCCTCCTGAGTAACTGAGGATACAGGTGTGTGCCACCACACCTGACTAATTTTTAAGTTTTTTGTAGAGATGGGAGTCTCACTAAGTTACCCAGGCTGATCTCCAACTCCTGAACTCAAGCAATGTCCCACCTTGACCTCCCAAAGTGCTGGATTATAGGTATGAGTCACCCTGCCTGGCCGGAATTGTGCACTTAAAAATGGCTAATTTGGGCCAGATGTGGTGGCTCACGCCTGTAGCCCCAGCACTTTCGGTGGCCCAGGCAGGCAGATCACCTGAGCTCAGTAGTTTGAGACCAGCCTGGGCAATATCACAAAATCCCATCTATACTGAAAGTTAGCCGGGGGTGGTGGCCTATAGTCCCAGCTACTCGAGAGGCTGAGGCAGCCTCAGGTGAAACCCCATCACTTCCAGATCCTGTCAGAACATTTTAGAAATTTTCTATTTCTAAAAACAGAAAATTAGCTGGGCCAGGTGGCAGGAGCCTGTAATCCCTGCTACTCCAGAGGCTGAGGCAGGAGAATTCCTTGAACCTGGGAGGCGGAGGTTGCAATGAGCTGAGATTGCACCACTGCACTCCAGCCCGATGACACAGCAAGACTCTGTCTCAAAAAAAAAAAAGCATGGTTAATATAGTAAGACCAGGGATAAAGGGAGGCATGGGGTCCTATCCCAGAGGTCCTGTTTAGTCCTGAGGAGGAGAAAGGGGAGGATCATAGGGGATCAGGGGTGTCCTGATGAACAAAGTCTCTCAGAGGTGAGACATCTGCGGGGCTAGTGTGGTCCAGGAAGGATTCATGAAACAGGGGGCTCTGGGGGCCAGGCAGGGACAGTCCATGATTGGAAGGAGCTCATCCTGCCATTTGGGGTGGGGCGGCACAGTTGGAGCCAGAGTCCTATATGGCAGCCTGCAGTGGGCAGGGAGGACAGCAGCCTCTGTTGTGTGGTTCTGTGCACAGTGGATCATCTCCATCTTCTCATTCCAGTGACCTGTGACCTCACGCTCTCTCTTCTCCCAGGTGGGGCCCATTGAAGCCACGTCCTTCATCCTCAGGGCTGTGCGGCCCCAAGCCAGGTACTACATCCAAGTGGCAGCTCAGGACCTCACAGACTACGGGGAATTGAGTGACTGGAGCCTCCCTGCCACTACCCCGATGACCCCTGGCAAGCAGTGAGGGCTTCCTGCTGCCCCCAGACAGGACCCAGGGTCCTCGACACCCTACGCCCCAGGACACCTGTTCTGAGGGTGGGTGGGGTCTGCCCAGCCTGGGTTGGCATCCTTGCCTTGCTCCTTCTGAGCTGCTGGGCAACCTCAGATGACCGACTTTACCCTCTGAGCCTCCGTTTCTCTAGCTGGGAAACGGGGATATACTCTCTCCTTTACCACTGTGTGGGGCTTACTGAACTGTGACTGTGAGATATGTTTTATTGTTTAAATAGAAAATAATTTGTGGTTGGGCTGGGTGCAGTGCACCTGTGATCCCAGTTACTGGGAAGTCAAGGTGGGAGGATGGCTTGAGGTCAGGGGCTCAAGGCCAGCCCAGGCCACATAGTGAGCCCCGTCTCTAAAAAATTAATGTGAAATAAATTAGCCATGTGTGATGCTGCCAGCCCGTAGAGCCAGCTACTTGAGAGGCTGAGGGGGAGGATCGCTTGAGCTCAGGAGGTTGAGGCTGCAGTGAGCTGTGATCACACCACTGCCTTGATGCCTGGGCAACAGAGCAAGACCTTGTTTTTTTTTGAAAAAAAAAAACAAAAATGAAATGAAGACTCCAGCCAGTCACCATGGTTCACACCTGTAATTCCAGCACTTCGGGAGGCCAAGGCAGGTGGATCACTTGAGGTCAGGAGATCAAGACCAGCCTGGCCAACATGGTGGAACCCCAGCTCTACTGAAAATACAAAAATTAGCTGGGCACGGTGGCGGGTACCTATATAATTCCTGCCACTTGGGAGGCTGAGCAGGCAGATCATGAGGTCAGGCGTTCGAGACCAACCTGGCCAACATAGTGAAACCCCTTCTCTACTAAAAATACAAAAAATTAGCTGGGCATGGTGGTGGGCATCTGTAATTCCAGCTACTTGGGAGGCTGAGGCAGGAGAATTTCTTGAACCCAGGAGGCTGCAGTGAGCCGAGATTGCGCCACTGCGCTCCAGCCAGGGCGACAGTGCGAGATTCCATCTCAGAAAAAAGAAAAAGAAATGAAGACTCCTCCCTTCAATTAGATGAGATCCAGTGAGGACTCAGCCCTGACCCAAAGGACACAAACACCACAGATCCCCACTACCGTGGAGTCAGGGCTGAACCAGGGGACATCACAGGCCCAGGGATGCCAGGGTGGGTGGCGGGCGTTGCGCCTGGAGTGGGACAGTAGAATCCATTCAGGTTAGCATTCCTGCAAACCTTCCCAGAGGTCAGCCTCATTGACAATAGACACTAATAAGGTGTGAGCGGCTCTGGGGAGATTTAACTGAACAGTGGGCAAGGAAGGTAGCAAGGCCCTGAAGGAGAGAGAAACAGCCTTGGGCTTGCCTGTGGATTCCACTTGGGTTTCCGGTCAAAAGTCACCTCCTCTGAGAGGCCTTCCCTGACTACCCCATCTGTGGCAGATAGAGTAACACTCCCTACTTCTGCAAAGACATCCATGTCCCAGTCTCCAGAACTCATGAATATTTTGCCTGACATAGCCAAAGGGACTCTGTAGGAGTGATTAGATTAATAATCTCGGAGATCTTTAAAGATTAAAGATCTTTCATCAAACGAATGAAAATGGGCTGGGCATGGTGGCTCACGCCTGTAATCCCAACACTTTGTGAGGCCAAGACAGGAGGATTGCTTGAGGCCAGGAACTCCAGACCAGCCTGGGCAACATAGTGATACCCCCATCTCTAAAAAAATAAAATAGGCGGGCCGGGCGCGGTGGCTCACGCCTGTAATCCCAGCACTTTGGGAGGCCGAGGCAGGTGGATCACAAGGTCAAGAGATCGAGACCATCCTGGTCAACATGGTGAAACCCCGTCTCTACTAAAAATACAAAACATTAGCTGGGCATGATAGTGCGTGCCTGTAATCCCAGCTACTCAGGAGGCTGAGGCAGGAGAATTGCCTGAACCCAGGAGGCGGAGGTTGCGGTGAGCCAAGATCGTGCCATTGCACTCCAGCCTGCGTAACAAGAGTGAAACTCCATCTCAAAATAAATAAATAAATAAATAAATAAATAAATAAAAAATAGGCGGTGCACGGTGGCTCATGCCTGTAATCCCAGCACTTTGGGAGGCTAAAGCAGGTAGATCATGAGGTCAGGAGTTCAAGACCAGCCTGGTCAATATGGTGAAACCCTATCTCTACTAAAAAATATAAAAAGTAGCTAGGCATGATCGTGTGTGCCTGTAGTCCCAGCTACTTGGGAGCAGGAGAATCACTTGAACCCAGGAGACAGAGGTTGCAATGAGCCAAGATCGTGCCACTGCACTCCAGCCTGTGTGACACAGTGAGACTCCGTCTCAAAAAATAAAAATAAAAAACAAACAAAAAAATAAAGAAAAAATAAATATAAAATCAAAGTAAATTAACCAGGTGTTATGTTGAGTGCCCATAATCCCAGATAATCAGGAGACTGAGGTGGGAGGATCTCCTGAGACGAGGAGATCAAGGCTGCAGTGAGCTATGATCTCACTACTGTACCGTAGCCTGGGCAAAAGAGCAAGACCATGTCTCAAAAAAAAAAAAAAAATTGGCTGGATGCAGTGGCTCACGCCTGTAATCCCAGCACTTTGGGAAGCCAAGGCGGGCAGATCGCGAGGTCAGGAGATTAAAACCATCCTGGCCAACATGGTGAAACCCCTGTCTCTGCTAAAATACAAAAAAAAATTAGCTGGGCGTGGTGGTGTGTGCCTGTAGTCCCAGCTAATCGGGAGGCTGGATCACTTGAACCCAGGAGGTGGAGGTTGCAGTGAGCTAAGATCAGGCCACTGCACTCCAGCCTGGCGACAGAGCAAGACTCCATCTCAAAAAATAAAATAAAATGAATGTGTGTTGGTCAGGTGTAGTGGTTCATGTCTATAATCCCAACAGTTTAGGATGCCAAGGTGGGAGGATTGCTTGACCCTAGGAGTACTAGATCTGCCATGGCAACATAGCAAGACCCTGTCTCTCCAAAATTTTTTTTTAATTTAGCTGGACATGATGGCATGCACTTTCAGTCCCAGCCACTTGGGAGGCTGAGGTGGGAGGATCTCTTGAGCCTGGGAGCTTGAGGCTGCAGTGACTATGATCACAGTACCCCACTCCACCCTGGGTGACAGAGCAATACCTTGTGTCAGAAAAATAAATGAAACAAATGCATGTGTTTTTCAGACACTGAGTTTGTGGTCATTTGTTAAACAGCCATAGGCCCCTCAAGCATCACATGTAATCGCCCCTTTCCATCACTATCCATGGTCAAAAGGCAAAGCTGCAACCTTGGCCAGGTGTGGCAGCTCATGCCTGTATTCCCAGCACTTTGAGAAGGTGAGGGAGGTGGCTACTTGAGGTCAGGAGTTCGAGACCAGCCTGGCCAACATGGTGAAACCCCGTCTCTACTAAAAACACAAAAATCAGGCAGGCGTGGTGGCACATGCCTGAGGTCCCAGCAACTTGGGAGACTGAGGGAGGAGAATTGCTTGAACCTGGGAGGTAGAGGTTGCAGTGAGCTGAGGTTGTGTCACTGCACTCCAACCTGGGCAACAGAGCAAGACTGCATCTCAAAAACAAAACAAAACAAAACAAACGCTGCAACCTATTTAGTTCAGAGATCTTCTTGTTTTGTTTTGTTTTATTTTCTTTTGAGACGAAGTCTCACTCTGCTGCCCAGGCTGGAGTACAGTGGTACGATCTCAGCTCACTGCAACTTTCGACTCCCTGGTTCAAGGAATTCTCCTGCCTCAGCCTCCCAAGTAGCTGGCATTACAGGCTCCCGCCACCATGCCCAGCTAATTTTTGTATTTTTAGTAGAGACAGGGTTTCACCATATAGGCCAGGATACTCTTGATCTCCTGACCTTGTGGTCCACCAGCCTTGGCTCCCAAAGTGCTGGGATTACGGGCATGAGCCACCACACCCACCCTAGTTCAGAGATCTTAACTGGGTTTTCTTTGCAATTCTGGAATTGAACAACACCTCATTCCATCATCGAACTGGCTACTAAAATGCCAGGGGTTTGGTCTAGGTCTTGCTGCCCTCTGCACAGAAAGCCAATCACTGAGACCACGAGGATTGCCAGGGAGGAAGGCTTTATTCTGCTTCAGGTAAGGAGAAGGGGTGGTAAAATCACACATGTCTCCCTGACCAACCAAAATTTGGGGCATTTATATAGCTGGGGAATGGGAGAAAACAGAAATTCAGGGAGGATGTTAAGGAAGTAATCTTGATGGATGGTGGGGTCTGGCTTCTAGTTGTCTGGATGTGATGATCTGATAAGTTTCAGTTCCTTGCCTGATGGTCAGTTTCCTGAGGAAGGAACCAAGATGAGAGAAATGTAAGTTTCAAGTTTTAAGACTAGGAAGGACCTATTTCTATGTTTATTCAAATAACCATAAGTATTCATTCTATGGAAAAATTGGACTAGTTTCAGAATGTTTCCATGAGCTGAGCAGAGGAGATTGGGGGTTCTTTTTCTTTCTTTTTAAATCTGTTAAACCTTCCATTTTTGCAAAGGAGGTTTTATTTATTTATTTATTTATTGAGACAGAGTTTTGCTCTTGTTGCCCAGGCTGGAGTGCAGTGGCGCCATCTCAGCTCAATGCAAAGGAGGTTGGTTTTATAGACAGAAAAAGGCCAAGGAAAGCAGAAATAGAAAACAAAAAGTGAATTAGTCTTTTCAGAGTTAACTTTTCTTGTAAAGGTTAGAGCAGAGGGGACTTTTTTGTGTTGGTTAAAACAACTGGCCTGTTAGGGGACTTTTTTTTTTTTAAACAGAGTCTTGCTCTGTCGCCCAGGCTGGAGTGCAATGGCACAATCTTGGCTCACTGCAGCCTCCACCTCCCAGGTTCAAGTGATTCTCCTGCCTCAGAATCCTAAGTAGCTGGGACTACAGGCACGGGCCACTAGGCCCGGCTAACTTTGCATTTTTAGTAGATACAGGGTTTCACCATGTAGTCCAAGCTGGTCTTGAACTCCTGAGCTCTGGTGATCCACCTGCCTCTGTTCATGGATTTGACTGTTCTCTCTCTGTGTCTTTCTTCCCACTTCCTTCCCATTCTCAATTTCTTGGAAGATCAGAAAACCACTTAGCTCCAGCTTGGTGATGAAAACGTCAGCCTGAGGGATTTTATTTTAGTTTGGTCTGTTGGGCCTAGGGCAGGACCAAATCAATGGCCTCCTGTAACTTCATTTAACACCGTTCATTGTCCCTTTTTATTGTCTTCTTGGTGCCAGAAAAAGAGGTCCCTATCTAGACTTCAAGAGAGGGTTCTTGGATCCCGTGCAGGAAGGAATTAAAGGCGAATTGCAGAAAAGGGACAGTTTATTGAAAGCTACTCAGTTACAAAGTAGGGTGTCTTCAGAAAACAAGAGGAGGGACACCTTGTTTTTGTTTTAAGGCTGTTTGTTTTTGAGATGGAGT